CTCCATGGGAAATTTAAAGAGGGATGCAAAAATTTGGAAGAGCCACTGTGATGAATGGGTGAGTGACTTAATTAGGTAGGCATAAAAGGTTTGCCTGGCAGTAGTGAGAGCCTACTTGAGTCAACATAACAGGAATTTGTAGTGGACCCAGTCAGGATGGTTTGATGATTTTCTCTAATTTCATTCAGCAGCACTTGTGTGGATGGTGGGAGTGATCCAAGGCAGAGGATTTGCAGGGCAAATTCGGGGATAGGATAAGGGGGCAAGGGACTCAAGAGAGGAGGACAGGGTAGAGTTGAACTGGTTCACCAAGCGGTTAGGATGGGGAGATATTTTTGGATAGAGAATCTCTTTAAAAAATCACACTGTGTAGGTGGCCCCCTACTCTGCCTATAGGTGAAATCCAATGTCCACTGTCCTTTTAGGAAATCCCAGGCTTTTGAAGCTACAAATTATGAACAGTTGTGTACCAGAGAAAGTTTGAAAGTTCTGTCTCTGCGACCACAGCACCCTCACTGTTTCTAATATTTTAATCTGCAATAAGATGTCTGACTCACACCTCTCTTGTTGCTCCTCCTTCCTTTTGTAGAATTGTTCCTGAGCCCTGTAAGATGCTCTGTTTTTAGTTCCCTGGTCACACCCCTGCCAGAGTGCAGATGAGGTATAAAGCATTTGAATGGAATTAGGAGTGTTGAGTTCTAGGACGTTGTGGTATTTCCTGATCTCTAAAAAACAACAAACAAACAAACAAACAAACACGCTTTAAAGCCAGCTCCCACTTGCTCTGCTACCATGGGCACGTTATTTGCCCTCTCTGGTTCTCACTATAATCCTCAAATTCCTATTAAGTGTCTAAGGTGCTACAGGTTCAACGGATGCAAAGAAGTACGAGACAATGTCTGGTCTCAACATCTTTTTGTCTAGTCAGAAAGTCAGGACACATATACATAAAGAGATAAATAAAAGTATGTGGGTGATGCCAGATGAGCAGTATGAACAATAAATTCTGTGGGGATTTGGAGGAGGGATTCTATGGGTGGGGATGAGTAATGGGATTTCAGTGAGATCTCATGCTAGTCCAGGCCAGGGTCTTAGGGGCCTTTAAACATTGTTTTATTTGTCCGCTTCACTTTACAGATGAGGAAACTGAGGCCCACTGAGGGGAAGTGGCTTGCCCACGGTCATACATGAAGCAAGTGGCAATGCTAAGATTTGAATATACTTTCCTTCTTAGTGGGGAGGGGGGAAGGAAGTGGACAGTGGGGAGGGAAAGAAGGAAGATTTTTGATGACTGAAAAAAAAAACCTTAAAAACAAAACAAATGCAGGTCTTCTTATGCCATATGCTGGGCTCTTAAGATGGATAGAATTAAAACAAGTGGAGAGGGCATTTCAGGCATTGAGAATGTTGTGAATAAAGGTTTAGAGGTCAGAGTGCATGTAGCATATTTAGGAGACCAGTAAAGTGATCAATTTTGCAGGAATCATGTGTGGGTCAGTTGTGTGACACAAGGTCGGTTGGGTCAGATAATGGAAGTTCTTGAGTTCCAAGTTAAAGAGATGGGACTTTATCCTGTAGGGGAGCTATTCAAGTTTTCTGAGCAGGTGAATGACATGATCAAAATATGCTGTGTGAGCACATTGGGCAGGTGATGGTGTATAATAATATTAATGAGTTCATGTTTACTGTATATAGTACTTGACAAAGTATTTACACAATACTTTCCTCATGACAATGATATGCACAGGTAATATCAATATTATTATCCTCATGGAATTGTTTTTCCTTCGAAAAGGAAGGTTTTTCTTTTCCTTTGACTCTAGGTTAGATACTCCAATTTCCAGATACTTTGTAGGTCAGAATCTATTTGAAACCATGGCTCCCAGGCCTCTACCAATGAATTTATTTTTCAGCCAGAGGTCCTAAATGAAAAAGGAAGTGAAGAAAACATGATGAGAAAGCCATTGTAACTCCACCCCATCATAATCCTCTATTCTAGGCAAATAGAATTGTTGTTGAGTCATTGTGGTCACGTCCGACTCTTTGTGACCCCATTTGGGGTTTTCTTGGCAAAATACTAGAGTGGTTTGCCATTTCCTTCTCCAGCTCATTTTACAGATGAGGAACTGAAACAAACAGGGCTAAGTGACTTGCCCAAGGTCACACAGATAGTATCTGAGACCAGAGTTGAACTCAGGAAGTTAAATCTTCCTGTTTCCCAGCCCAGTGCTCTATTCACTGTGCCATCTAGCTGCCCAAAGTAAAATAGAATTGGTAGAGAAGGCTAAAAAGGCCATATTTCTTTGTTGCATTTCCCCTCACCCACACACCACACCCTGATCTCTTCTGTGTTTTTCTACCCTCATTTTTCCCCCTTTTAATTTGATCATTTGCTCTAGACCCACGGACACAACTGTTCAGTGAACTCCTTGTTCTGAATCTTCCTCCAGAAATATGGATTAGCAACTGTTCTACAACTTAAACTCTCAGAGAGTCAGTTGCCTTTTGCACTGAGAGGTTTAAATGACTTGCCTGGTCATATAGTCAATATGTGTTGGAGCAGAGACTTGAACCCAGATCTTCCTGACTTTTAGGCTAGTTTTATATACTCCTGCACACTGATTCTCTATACTCATTTTACAGATTGCTAAACTGAGAGATTAACTAACTTGCCCAACTAAGACTGGGATGTGAGTCTCCTGACTCCAGATTAAGTGCTCTTTTAGGACCTAATTGGTGGCAGAGGCTAGCTAGGAACCTTTTACTATAGCATGCAGCTAGCTTCTAGTTGTTCCTGGCCCTGTGTTCCAGAAGGAGGCAGGCAGGGAGAATTAGGAAGTTACCATTGGTAAAAATGATTCCACAACTTGGCACAAAGTAATTTGCGATTAAAGGATGCTGTGGCTATTTTGGTCCCAATGGACGTTAGTCACTTCCTCGGCATTTGCCATATGCTTGGTTTGTCAGTCAGTTTTTTCCTGGGTTACTTGGGGACATGTGGTATACTTGTTCAGGATCCTCTTGGCCCTAAATTGGGCTCCAGCTTGGGGGTTCCATGTAGGATACAGAAATAAGAGTCGGGTCCTCTGATCTTGAATGTCCTGAGGTTGAGAAGGGGAGTCATCCACCACCCTCAATTTCAAGGCTTCCACGTGCATCAATAGAGAAGTTGGCTTCCCAGTTGGTAGGCTCTGAATGTCAGGAAAGGCTTCTTTGACCTCAGATATCTCCTCCATTATCTTGTTCTTCTAGTGCCTGAAACGTCACCGTTGGAGATTCATTCATCTGGTCTGAGAATTCATAGCATTTATAGAATATATGTGGGACGTTGATAGACCTTATCTAGTCTAACCCCTTTATTTTATAGATGAGAAAATGGAGGTGCAGAAAGGTCAGGTGATGTGCTCCAGGCCACACAACGAGCCGACAATAGATTCGGGGGATGCCTGTAACCCTGGCCTAGTTCTCATTTAAATATACCGTGTTGCCTCCCTCATACATTTAAAAACCTTAACGATCTGAAAATAGCATTTTAAAACAGATCGACTCCAGTTTGGGGCTCTCACTTTACACAGCTGTATATAGTGGATTCTAATTTCAGATCTTGTAGATGAACCAAAAATGGTAATCATAGATGAGGATATGATGGAATTAAAGAATTTCAAAATATTTCTGGGTCCTGATTGTGTTGGGGAAGAACAAGTAGGAAAGGACAGAGCAGGAAATGGTTACACAGCCTTGGTAGGGTAGTTATGGGTCTTTTACCTTATTCCTCTTACCATGGGACCCTGTTGGGTTCTCTCTACTGTCCTCATCTCCTATCTCCATACATTGGCACAGTCAGCTCCTCTCTTCCCCATTCTCCCGAGCCTCAGGCCCATTCTTATCATTTCTCCACGTCTTAATATTCTTCTGTTCCTTTAAGACAGTAGGAGGCAGTGGATAAAGCGCTGGGTTTGTAGTCTGGGTTTCTGAGTTTGAATCCTGCCTCTGCCTTTTATTACCTATGTGGCCTTGGATAAGGCATTGAACCTCTCTAAGCCTTCATATTCATCTTCATCTTGGACTTGTTGAAGTTGAGATGTCTACAGGACATTTGGTTTCAGATGTCCAAGCTGCAGTTGGTGATGTGTGACTAGCTTGGGAGAGAGAGACTAGGGCTGTATGTATAAATCTGGAAATTATCTACATGAAGGTAAATCAATCTGTGGGAGCTGATTAGATCACCAAGAGAGATAGTATAGAGGGAAAAGAGAAGCTGGCCCAGGACAGGGCTCTGGGGAATACTAATGGTTAGTGGGTGCAACATGGATGAAGAGCCAGCAAAGGACACCAAGCAGGAGGGATTGGAAAGACAGACGAGAACCAGGGGAGTGCAGTATCATGGGCCTCAGTTTTCCCATCTGTAAAATAAGGTGATCTGAATTGATGACCTTTAGGATTCCTTCTATTTCTCAATCTATGTTGGGATCATAATATTATAGATTAAAAACAGAAAAGGCCCTGTGTCATTAAAGGTGAATATATTTGAGTCATAGAAAATGTATTTGGTTATAGATGCAGAGATGGACAAATTTGCAGGCTTCTTCTGAAAATCGAGAATGTATTTATTTTAGAACATTGGTAGAAATGTGTCTGGTATCTAGACCGGAGGGCACAGATCTAGGGAGCTTAATTTATATGTAGACAAATTTCTCTGAATAATGAGATGGAAATTAAAACATAGTGCCAATTGCACTGAGCCGTGCTGAATAGCCGTTATCTCTGTGCTTTTGTTCCCTCCTCTGTAAAGTGGGGTTAATAATTCCCTGGCCAAGCAAATGTTTGTGAAGGGCTAGGTGGGGTATAAGATGCTGGAGAAAAGTAAGGGATTATTATGAAACGTATAACCATGGGGGATGTATGGCATCTGCCCTCGCATATGGAAAAAATGTGACTCCAGCTGAAAGAGTTAAGCCAATGAATGAGATAAAATATCACCTGCCTCATTTTCTTATCAGAGGACTGCAGTTTAGCTGGCACAGTGGGGAGGAGATGGCCGACTGGACCAACGGGTCCTCTAATGTCACGGAAGACAGAACATTGCAGAGCAGCAGTGACACCAGCACCAGGTACAGACCCAGCTACAACTACAGAGGAGGGGAAAACATTCCAAGTGGGTTCTGCTGCTTCCCTCCACCCTGCCGGTCCCCAGAGCTGTGCTCCAGCAAAGAAACAGGACTGCCCCAGGGGTTCAGACCAAATCAGGCCCTTACTCTGGTAGTAGGATGCTCATCTTCTTATCTTCCTACTGCTCATTTTTTTTTTTAGGCAATTGGGGTTAAATGACTTGCCCAGGGTCACACAGCTAGTAAGTGTCAAATGTTTAGTCTGAGGCCGGATTTGAACTCAGGTCCTCCTGACTTCAGGGCCAGTGCTCTATCCACTGTGCCACCTAGCTGCCCCTAAATGGCTTTCTTACTGCTTTTTTTTTTTTTTAAGGCATCCTCTTCTTGTCTTCCAAAGGATAAGGGCTGGGTGAGATTGAAGTGGGGTATGTAGAGTCAGTCCTTAGCAAAAAGGCAAAGTTAGTGGTTTGCCTTTGGTTTCTCCCCTAGTCATTGTTTTTTGGTGACCTTCCTGGACTTTCATGGTATAGTTCCCACACTATTCTCTCTCCTGCCCCAAGATCTTCCCAATCATTTCAGGTTCCCAGCATCCCATATTGGCTCCCCTTCCAGCCAAATAGACTTACCTTTAGAAGAGACTTTAGTATCAGTAACCTGGGCCTGAGTGTGACTGAGTCTCTGTGCTCCCTCCCCAAGGGGTTTGTTTTTTAAGTGTCATCTAGCTCTGAGTTAAAATTCCACTTCTGCTAATTACTATCTGTGTGGCCTTGGACAAGTCACCTGATTTACTTGGGCCTCAATTTCCCCATTTGCAAAATGGGAGAGGGATGGGTTTGGAATAGATAGCCTCTGAGGTTCGTTCCATCCCTAGATCTGTGATCCCATGGTCACCAACCATGGAAAGAAAAGCTCTGTCTTCTAGTAATGGGATTTTAAGTACCATGGAGCAGATGGGAGAAGGTTGTTTCCCATATCCCTGAAGTGGGGGAGCCCACTCCACCCCTATACAGCGCTGGCCCTGGGGGCAGCAGAGCCTTCCTGAGAGAGTAAAAATCCCGCAGAGCTAAGTGTGCCTTTCCTTGGTCTGGTTTTCTACCTGATTCTATAATTAGTAAATAAGTGCGATGTGTATATTTAGGAGTCAATTAAAATTTAATTCTCGTGGAAAGAATATCGCACTCCATCCTGAATGCATTATGGGGAATTTGTGCTTAAAAGACGAGTTGTGTTCAGTGGAGATGCACGTCTTGGGGAGATGCCAAGAGAGCTGTGTGAGGGAGATGCATCCAAATATACCGTACCATTTATTGCTGGTGTCTGCAAGCAAGAAGTGGCTTGTATATTTCTGTTGCACTGGGGAAAAACATGAGTTTTGTTTGCAGTTAATTTTTAAAAAAAAGTTTTATTGATGCTTTTTGTTTTCATATCACGTTTGTATCACAGAACTCTTCCCTCCTCCCAATCCTCAGTTTTCCTTTGTAACAATGAAAACCATTGAAACCAGACTGGCCCATGACCAGTTCTGACAGCACATGTAACATCCCATATTCATGGTCCTTAAGTGAAAATTGGATTAGAGAGGTGTGTTTCCTTATCTCTTCTCTGGGGCCCAGATTGGACATTATAAATACATAGCACTTACCTTTATTTTATTATTCTTTTAATTTATATTATTATAGTGGTGATGCATATTGTTTTCCTGATTCTGTTTATTTCACTCTGCATCAGTTCAAGTAAGTCTGCATTCCCCATATATTTATAATTTCTTAGAGTAATCATATTCCTTTATATTTGTATTCCAGAGTTTGTTTAGGCATTCCCTGATTGATAAGTACCCACTGTGTACTTTACACAGATCTTTATTCCCCAAAAAAGTGATACTATGAATATTTTGATAATTTGACCTTCTTTCCTTCATTCCTTCCTTTGTTCCTTCCTTCTTTCCTCCCTTCTTTTTTTCCTTCCTTCCTCTCTCCCTTCCTCCCTCCCTTCTTTTCTTTCCTTTTCCTTCCTTCTTTCTTTCCTCCTTTTCTCCTTCTTCCTTCCTTCTTCCTTCCTTCCTTCTTCCTTCCTTCCTTCCTTCCTTCCTTCCTTCCTTCCTTCCTTCCTTCCTTCCTTCCTTTCTCCCTCCCTTCCTCCCTCCCTTCTTTTCTTTCCTTTCCCTTCCTTCCTTCTTTGTTTCCTCCTTTTCTCCCTTCTTTCTCTTCCTTCCTCCTCTCTCACTTTCTGTCTTTTCTTTTCCTTCTCCCTCTCCTCTTTTCTTCTTCTTTTAAATTTTTTATTGGTGCCTTTTATTTTTACAGCATGGTCATTCCTGTACACATACCCATCTCCCTGTAACAAGAATTAGACAAAACCAATCAACCTGATACCATGCAACGTTCTTCTTCTTTCTCCTTACTCACATCTTGTCTCTCTCTCTCTTTTCTGTTCTTTTTCACTCTCTGTAAAATAGTTTACTCAAGGCTACACTGTGACAGCGTGGTGTAGTGGGAAGAGAATTTGATTTGCTATTTGCACCTTGGCCTTGCTACCTATTATGACCCAGGGCAAGCAACTTAATCTCTCTGGGTCTGTTTCCTCATCTAAAAAAATTGTTGGTTGGTGTTGGTGGGTTCTTGCCAGCTCTAAAACCTAGGACTCTATATGGAACTCAGGATTGCTAGATCTGTTCTGCCTGGGCTGTCTGTACTCTTCTTTCAGGGGTGGGGAGTTCCCCAAACCAAAGACCACCTCCAGCAGTGGGTGTGTGTGTGTGTGTGTGTGTGTGTGTGTGTGTGTGTGTGTGTGTGATGTACTTATATCTGTCTGCCTCAGATCAATCACTTCACATATGCAAAGAAAAATCTTATTAGTCTGAGGTCAGACCCCAGGTAAAACAGAAAACAAAAATAAAACAAATGAAGATGATCAGAGTTTCTTTAGAAGACTGACAGACCTTATCAATGATCTAAGTTTCTCATGTTATCACTTTCAAGTGTCTTCTCATTTCTCCTTACATTAACAAAACAAAACAAACAAAAACCAAAAGTGTGGTCACCAGTGACTTCATCCTACAGCTGTCTCCTTTCAACCACCTTTTCATCTTTAGCAACCTAAAAGGGTGTTAAGTTGTAGTATGATGTAGATGATCTCTCTCTTCTCCTCATTTTCCCCAGTTGTTTTTTCCTCTTTTATTTCCTTTTGTCCCCTGCCTCTGACTCTAACTTGCCAGAGTGATTAATGTCATTCCTTCCTCTTCCACTCCCTTGCTTCGTCCCTGTCCCCATAGGGATGGATAGGATGCTGAGCCTTGAAGAGTAGGCTCAACCATTGAGTATAATGTCATTATTAAGATGACCCCTGACTACCAGAACTGATGGTTTTGTGACTCTTCAGCCCAACCTAGTGACTGTCTAGCAGTGAATCATAGCTAACACTTCTATTTCTCTGATCCCCAGATCTTGGTGATTTGTAAACAAATTATATCACCAGAGTAGATCCCTAGGGACTCTGTTTCTCCTTCTTTAAAATAGTTGGTATGACACTGGGCACCAAACTTGCAGAGATTTTATGAGATTCAATTTAACTATTTAGTTGGTTCCCAGGCTCCCAGAGCCGCTCTCTTCCCTTCCCCCCTCCATTATCATTATTTTACTGTACACTCTATAGCCTTCTGGGCCACGTAATCTACTTTTTACCTGGGTCATCTACAATCAAATAGCAATGGACATGCTATTTGGTACTTTTCAACTTTCCCCACTCTGGCTGATTGAAAAACTGAATATTTATTTTTATTTTTTAAAATAGTATTTTCCCCCAATTACATGTGAAGAGAATTTTCAACATTCATTTTATGACTTTGAATTCCAATTTTTTTTCCTTTCCTCTCTCCTCTCCCCACTCCCGAAGATGTCAAAAATCTGATACAGATTATGCATGTGCAATAATGTAAAACATATTTCTACATTAGTCGTGTTGTGAACAAAGAAACATAACAAAAGGGAAAAAAACCACAAAACCCCAAAGAAAGTGAACATAAAATATTTCAATCTGCAATCATACTACATCAATTATTTCTCTGGATGTGGATAGAATTTTTCATCATGATTTTTTGGAATTGTCTTGGGTTATTATATTGCTGAGAAGAGCTAAGGCATTCATAGTTGATCATCATACAACGTTGCTATTACTGTGTACACTGTTCTCCTGGTTCTACTCACTTCACTCAGTATCAGTTCATGTAAGTCTTTCCAGGTTTTTCTGAAATCTGCCTGCTCATCATTTCTTATGGCACAATAGTATTACATTACATTCATATATTACAACTTGTTCAGCCATTCTCCAGTTGATGGGCATCCTCTCATTTCCAATTCCAAAAGAATTTCTAATTCTTTGCCACCATAGAAAGAGCTGCTATAAATATTTTTGTACATGTATGTTCTCTTTGGGGTACAGACCTAATAGTGTTTTTGCTGGATCAAAAGGTATGCACATTTTGATTGCCCTTTGGGCATAGTTCCAAATTACTCTCCAGAATGGTTGGATCAGTTCACAACTCTACCAACATAAATATCTATTTTTAAAAGGCACAGTAACGTTAATGACATTAGCAGCATGATTTTGTTGTTCAAAGATTACTAAATTCAGTCAAAGTGACTTCTTCAGCCCTGGAACAGTTAAATTTACCCAAACCTCAGTGGTTTCTGGAACTCTGATGGCCTTCATTAGTCTATTTAATATTATTTCAGTGGGTCGTTGGATAATAGCCCTAGTCAGGTGAGAACTGCAGTTGCAGAGGATGTGGGGCAGTGTCCTTCATTCTGTGCTCCCAGTGATGTTAGTTCTTGTCTCCTGAGACATCCCATGGCCCCATTCAATAGTGTGAGAAATGAAAGAGTTAAGTTTCCAACTAAGTAGATAAGAAATCAGCACAGACAGGCTAACTTCTCCATGGGGTGGGGAGTGATAACACAATTCTAGGCACATAATGTATTTTAGGGGTGGGCATATAAGGAACATTG